GCAAACAATTCGCGACATGTTGCACGTGTTTTTGACAGCCGAATTATTTGGCTGTTCAGCAGCTTCCGCAATATAACAACAAAATTGAGTTATAACAATGGAGGAATAACTAGCATTGCCTGTTGACAAAAGAAGCAAGATTTTATACATATGAGACTGTGTCTAAAATAATCATAAGATGTCGAAAGTGATTAATTTAAAACCCTAAAGAATAATGGCCAGCTGACGAATGTCAAATAATATGTCAACTGACAATCAATTCGTTGATCGAGGCATATATTATCTTTCTATAAATTATATTGGGGTAGGTTTTCTCTTGACTTTTTAAATAATCTTCAAAGTAAATCGATGTTCGATAATTTGTTAACTAACGGACATCTTTACCTGTTGCGAATTTATATTTGTCTTTGTTTATATTCAGCTAGAAAATTTTTATTATTTATACAATACGGCCCATACTTTTAGGTACTAGTCGGGCAGAATCCCGAAAAGTCGGGCAATTTTCTTTCCGCCCCCCTAATTTTTTCCTTCCGGTACGCCCATGGGAATTAATACATTTTTGAACAGACCAATGGGATTGTAGGACTGATCGGTCGATCCCAGGGCCATTTTCACTGACCCCCCAACCGTGGAGGCAAAATGCTCTGGGGACGAGGTTGTGAAGTAGGATATATTAATAGTGAGGTAAAGCTATAGAACTAATAGATAATATATAGAATCATAGAAATAATAGACATTAACAAGCTCGCTTCGATCATAACTGGCAAATATCTGATAAGTGACTTGGCGGTTTGTAGTACCACTGAAGAGAAAGTTTGGTCGAAGCCATGACCGTGGGTCAAGAGTTTGCGTTTAGTCATGGCCACGTTCACAAATTAGGTATCGACGACTTGGTAACACATTTACATTTAACCTAGCTGTTCTTGAGTGCCGAGAACAACACCTCTCCCCTATAGTACCACAATCACACTTCCTAAGGAAGTGGAGATGAGCAAGGGCACCAAGAGCCGCTCCGAAAGAGACACTGTATAAGGAACGAATTATGACACACACACAAGTTTGGGCCGATTGTTGACGCTGATTGCCGCGAACACAGGACGGGAAGGACGATGCGACAGACGAAGGATTGTGAGATACCAGGGTCGTTAACCCAGTGAGGCTGGCGCGAGGTGCCAGATCATGAACAGGGAAAGATACTTAGCTGAGATTGGGTTTTGTTTTGGCTTGTACACAACGTTGAAAATTTATTTTTAAATGACGATTTCTGTATATATTCTGTTCAGAACTGTTGCTTTTCGTAAAAAAGCCCACTAGAATGGGTTTTTAGACACTTTTTCTTCTTTGTAAAACCTTTTTTCCATTTAAGTCTCGATATAAAAATTTTTGCAAACTTTGCAGTTGAAAAAACAATTCGCACTCCCTGCAACCGCGTGAAATTCCCTGCCTCAGGAGTCTGTGACCAACCCAAATATGCCCTTATAAATCCGCCATTTTGTGGAGACAAATTTTTCACTGAGAAAAGATAGGAGTCATTGAATGGTAGGAGTACGCATTCTATATCTATTATTTCTATAGGTCAAGCAAGCAACGTTTTTGTCAACACGGACGTCACCCGAAAATTAGTATAACTTATTTTGGAGGCATTTTGCATCATAGCGCTCGTGTAAGGAAGGAAAAAAACTTTACAAATCTTTAATATGTTTTGTCATATGTGTTGAAGATTACTACAAACTGACACCAACCCAGTTTTTAATCCAGTCCCTCCTCGGTAATCTGACGTCTGCGTTGACAAAAACGGCGCTTGCTTAGCTCCCTAATAAGAAAAAAATTATAACCCCAACCCACGCAACTTACCGACTGTCTTGTGAACAAACGTCTATGTTCCTGAATCGCCAGATTATTACCACTTGTAGCTGAGGGTACCACACTCCCTCTGCCAGCTGGTGTAGCCTGGCCACCTGCACTTGAGTGACTAGACTGCATTTCAGCATTGTTGAAGTGTGAATTAAGCTGGCCAATTAACTCTCTAATTACTCCTTGAACTGCATTCTGACTGCCACTGCTATTGGAACTATTCTGCTACAAATGCACATTCAATATTTTAATATGCTGGAAAATGTAACGCTAAATTCTACTGCACATTTCATTTACCAGTAAAAAAACTCCTATGTGAAGGTTTACGTACCATACTTTTTACCAGAAATTCCAGTACACTGCAGGGAAATAAATTTCTTGTTTACAAAGTTCTAGAAATGTAATGATTAAAGTAATTATTATCCCGAGAATTCCATTTATTTAAGGTAAAAAGCTTTATTACTATTTAGTTAATGTAAAAAGCTTTACCTATTAAGGTAGGGTTATTCAATAATTAATCAAATATTTACTAATATCACCAAATGCCGTCCATATATACCCCCAGGGGCCGCAAAATGGGGGGAGGGGACTGGTGCTCTTTTTCAAATGAACGCGCCCTTTTTGGATATAAAAATAATATTCTGGTCACTTTTAGATAAAAATGTTACATAAAATAAAGATTGCTAGTTATTAGGGAACGTCAGAGCGCTCGTTGGGGTTAAAAACTGTTATGCCTTGTGTTATGCAAAGATGAACTGTAGTACTTGAGGTATGGCACATCGTCTGCCAATCTTTAGCAATCCTGTTTTGCGAGTATTTTCTAAATACATCTTGGCAGTTATGGCTGATAAAAGAGGGTGGGAAAGGGTATTTTCGTGAGCCGTGAATGGTCAATATTTGTTCGTGTGAAATGCTTCATTTTAGTGTCGTGAAATGTGATTTGTTCTACAGCCATGAGGCGCGATTGTCGATAAAAATGCTCCGTGAATTAAGGATGTCTGTTTCGTATTTTATAATAGTCATAAATAAATAAACATGATACGCGATAATCAATTTATATGATCTCACTCGATTGCACAAGAGTAAAAACTTCGGAGGCCTTTCGGAGGTCGTCGTACATGCTCGTCACTCAAACTTGTAAGTTATGATGTAGTTTTTAACTGACAGGTAGAGAAGTGAGAGAACTTAAAGTGTAGATACTGTACCATGCATTAAAAATACTCTTGATAAACCTATTATTATAATATTATTTTATTAGAATCTAGTTTTCCGTGAAATTGCTTTTTTAAGACACATGAATTGTGAAACGGCTTTTTTTTCGTTGTGAACCGTGATCCATACCCCCCCTTTGCCACCCTCATAAAAGCGACGAGGAGATTCAAATTGTGGCTTGCTGAATAACATGTCGATTACTTGGCTTATAGTGTCGACTGTCGATTACTCGGTTGGATCAAATTTCTTCAAAAAGATGGCACATCGTCTGCCAATCTTTAGCAATCCTGTTTTGCGAGTATTTTCTAAATACATCTTGGCAGTTATGGCTGCTAAAAGCGACAAGGAGATTCAAAATGTGGAGGGGTTTTACAAGCACAAGCGACAATGATAATAGACGTTGTGAATCTGTCATTTGGCCAAATGGGATGTTATGACTATATACACTCATTTAAATAGTTACACTGTATAAAATACAAATATAAATGGAATAAATTTCATGGATAAATGGCCACATGCCTGACATACGACGTGATCGAAATATAAAAGCGCTGCGTGTTTGTAATATGCAAATTATAAGCTGATATTTATCTGCTTCTCTTTATAAATTATTGTATGCCTGTTCGTTTAGTGTTCACTGTTTTTATGCATATTGCGGATACGAAAAGCGGTCTATATCAGAAGTAGTTAAAGACTACAAAATAATATAATATTGTTCTGGTTCTCTATAACCTCTATTGACATCTATATTTTATTGTATGATCACAGACATTTACATATAATGCGTTTTAAAGATTTTCTCAGCATTATACAACAACGGCAACGCACATTGATAAATAAAAGTTAAACTAAATTAGTACGCATTAAATTTAATCTTTACACAGTGAAATATACAATAAATTTAACAAAAAACTTACCGACACAAGCGTTGTCCTCGACGATCAACAATACACAATTGCCGGATTTGCCGCTTTTTACGCTGTTAATTAATACTCACACTTTGGATCAAATTACCATTGACCACGTGACGTGTTCACAACGAGCCATTTCACAACAAGCTATTTAACAACGAGTCATTTCACAACGGGCTATTTAACAAGGAGCCATTTAACAATGAGCCATTTCACAACGAGCCATTCCACAAGCCATTTAACAACGAGCTATTTAACAACAAGCTATTTAACAACAAGCTATTTAACAATGAGCCATTCCACAATGAGCCATTTAACAACGAGCTATTTAAGAACGAGCTATTTCACAATGAGCTATTTATCAACGAGCTATTTGACACTGACAAGGTATTTAACAACAAGCTATTGCACACAGCAAGCTATTTCACACAGACAAGCTATTTCACACAGACAAGCTATTTAACACTGACAGGGACTATTTTGCAACGAGCTATATTTCATGCGAACAAGCCGTTTCGCATTTCTAGCTGTTCCATTTGATGACGCGGACGTAAGCCATTTGACAATTTATTGAACTGTGCCACAATTCGTTGAGCCATTTCGCATTTTATTGAATCAATGTGGAATATGTTGATCCATTTAGCTATGCTGTAGCTACCGTTTATTAGTTTATATTGTTCTCAATCCACATTAAGTTATAGTTCAGTGGCGGGTTGGGGGTCTGGAACGTAATCAAAAAACCTAGAGGTTAAACGGCCATATTGGAATTTTGGAAAGTTTATTGTAAATATTTAAAGTTGGAAGTTGTTTTTCTGTGTGTGTTTCGAACAGTCCGGTTAGTGACAGTCATTTAAGTACTTCGAATTGGAATTATGTTTACTCTACTTTACTTAACAGTAATATTGTAATTTGTTTTAATAGAAAACCACACACACTGACACATGTAGATAGGAGTCTATATGAAGTTTTCGGACTTTTCTTGTATTGTATTCGTGGATTTAATGGATTAAACTGTGGAGAATTATGTCTGTGCGTTCCTGGCCAGTTCGGGGAGCTGGAAGTGTGGATAAATTGACGTGTATCGATGGCGAAAAGATGGCTACAAGATATGAGATTGGTGACAGCCGAGACACCAATAAATATTGTTTAAGAGTTCCGAATAAGGGAAACTATTTGGACGGTGAAAAGTCAGAAAGAGCAAAGGCTTTATATGCTTCTCGAACAGGATATGTTGGTAGTTTAACTAGAATTCGAAGAGAGATTGAAGCTCATAAGATGTCAAATGGGAAACTTTATGATATAGAGAAGAAATTGGAATCGTATGACAACGGTTGGCGTGAGTTTGTAAGTACCCATGAAACATATTTAGACGTTATAGACAGTGAAAATGAAAAGGAAGCTGCTTATAGTTTGTATGAAGAGAAAATAAAGCGAAGATTTGAATTTGGCTGTATGATTAAGTCTTGGAGAGGAGAAGTAAGTCAGAGGGAAAATAGAGATCATGTTTCTTGTTCGAAAACCTCAACAAGAAGTAGAGCTTCAAGTTCAAGCTCTACATTGTCTTCCTTGTCGAAAAGAAGGGAAAGATTAGCCCTTGCTCAACTAAAAGTCGATCAGATTGCAAGAAAGCATGAACTAGCAAAGAAATGTTAGATTTACAGAATGAAAGTGAGATGTTGGAGGCACAAATGCAGAGAGAAGAAGCTATGGTGAGTGTTCGTATTTGCGAACAGGTTATTCAGGAGGAAAGAGAGCAAGAGTTAGGTGACATTGAAGAAATGAATGAGAATAACGGGCAGGGGCGTCTCGACAATGCACCCACTAGAAGTGTCCACGGGGAAGAAAGGGTGAGTTTGCTCAAAGTGGATATTAATGACAAACATTCTTTGATAAACCAAAGTGAACTTGTAGAGAGAGGCACAGAATTTCTAAGTTCAAATCAAAATCAATCAAATTTTATTAACCATATTCAAATATTTACAAGCAGGTAGAATTATTTAAACAGGCGGATACATATTATAATTAAAAAGCTATAAATTTAATTATAAAATAGAAGGAAAGAGTAAAATGTAATATGGATGGAGATTTGCAGAAGAAAACTCCAGGGAGTTTGTAGAGAATGCCAATCACCAATTTTACCAGGGTCGAGTACAAACTGAGCAGGGTTTCTTATCCAAAATAAACTAATTCAGCTTTTCATCATTTCATCAAATAATAAATGTTTGAGCTTTTTTTGAAATGATTTTAATGTTTTTGACAGAGTGATAGTGTCGTCAAGCGAATTCCAGAATAGGGTCCCTCTTTGTCTTAGGGTCATTTTTCTAGTTGTGGTTCTTACTTGAGTGATATGTAATTTGCTGGCAGTTCTGGTATTATAGTTGTGAATTTCATCATTATGAACAAAGTAGGTTTGGAAGATAGGGGGAAGAGTACGAGGGTAGTTAATGCATCTAAATATAAAGGCTCCAGTTTGGTATTTATTTATGTCATAAACAGTCAATAATTTCAGCTTATAGAATAAGGGCTTTGTGTGGTCTCTAAATCCAACGTTAGCAATTATTTGTATCATACGTTTTTGTAGTTTAAAAATTTTTTCTAAATTTGTACTATATGTTTTAGCCCAGATAATGTTACAATATTGTATATATGGTAACACAAGCGTGCAGTATAGTGATCGACGTGCTGTCGCTGAAATTAATGACTTAATTTTATTTATAACACCAATGGATTTTGACATTTTTAGAGAAACGCAATTGATATGTGGCTTCCAATCAAGATTTTCATGAATATGAACACCAAGGAATGTTATAGAACTAACCTGTTCGATGAGTTTGTTATCTATCTTAATATCAGTTGTTTTTGTATAGTACTTGTTTCTAGCACAAAAAATAATACATTTGGTTTTCTTCAGATTTAACGAAAGTTTGTTTGATTTAAACCAGGTGGCTATAACACTGAGCTCTTGGTTTGTAATCTGTATCAGTTTAGTAAGGTCTTTCCCTGAAGAAAAGAGACTGGTGTCGTCTGCAAACAGGATGATTTTTAAAAGAGAAGAGCAGTTAGAAATATCATTCACATATATAAGGAATAATAGAGGTCCAAGTATGGACCCCTGAGGAACTCCGCAAACGATAGTTTTATGTGTTGACAGTATATTATTGAATTTAATGAATTGTTTCCTATTAGAAACATGGGTGAAACCCTTATTTTTGGGCCAATATCTGTAAAATTTAGGTCTATAAATTCTGGTCAATTCCCTCTGAAAGCCCTGTAAGTTACTGCATAACTCTACATTCTATCATTCAAAATCTTTGATTGCCCTGCCAATCCAGATGATTCACCCTGCCAATCCAGGTGATTTGTATTTTGGGTGGTGTCACACCCCCCATACCCCCCTCAAGTTTCGCCCCTGATTAAGTACCGCTATTGTAATGTAAAAAAAAAACCACTGACACACTGTGCAATTCAGCAAAATATATCAAATGGCACGATACAGCTGTATAAATTGGGCTGTCTGTTACGATACACAGTGTCCTCTTAATATAAGTGAATGTCCTATGAATATGCATCTCATTTGCAAGTAATATTGTATGTTTTGTGTTCAATATATAGACCACAGTAAGACTTTTTTAAATGTTTATTTCATTAACAAACGACGTTTCGGAGATTTACTCCATCTTCAGGTAGGATTACAATTTGAATTTAAACTAACATGCGCATGCATAAACGTTAATATTGTATGATTGTATACAGAGGATTTAAAATGGAATATTTTCCATGTGCAGGTACAAACTATGTGGAAAGATGAGGAAGTGTCAGCATTGGTTGAGTATTTATTTTTGATAGGTTAAGATGGCTGAGGGCCCAAAAAGGGTTCATGACCCTCCGACTGGGCAAACTCCAGGGAAAAAAACAGAAAAGAGAAGATCTGGCGTGTCTGGAAGGTTCTTGAGGAAATCACTGTTCCAGTCAGATACCGATTTAGAACAGGGTGTGGAGAAGAAGAATCAGAAGGTATCTATTTATAGTTGTTACTTAATATATGTTATTGCATTGTTTACAGTTTGAGTGTCACTTGATTCAACAAAACCTTTTTTAAAATAGAACTTTTCAACACCCTGAGCACTTTTTGGGTGGGCGTGTAAAGAATTTGTACCCAAAGTTATGGGGTGTACAATTATTAGAGAGCCCGTATCCATGTGGTTTAACCTGTTGAGTGGTGGCATTCACACCCGGACAAGTAAAATTTCTGATGTAGGGCGCAACTGGGCACATTGCCACTTAAAGGGTTAAAAGTTATACATTAAGTACAGGGGCGAAACTAGCCCCTTTTAATTCGGGGGGGGGGGTGTCTGCCAGAATTGCCCTGCCAAAATCGATGATGCTCTGCAGCAAATTTTTATTTCTGGCCACTATTTTTGCCCAAAAATGTTGAAAAAATTTTTTCGGGACATTAAAAAAAGGGTAAAAAAATTTTTCCCCGACATAAAACAGTTAAATTAAGGGTCAAAAAATTTTTCTGTAAAAATTCCTGTTAAAACATGGGTGAAACCCTTATTTTTGGACCAATATCTGTAAAATTTAGGTCTATAAATTCTGGTCAATTCCCTCTGAAAGCCCTGTAAGTTACTGCATAACTCTACATTCTATCATTCAAAATCTTTGATTGCCCTGCCAATCCAGATGATTCACCCTGCCAATCCAGGTGATTTGTATTTTGGGTGGTGTCACACCCCCCATACCCCCCTCAAGTTTCGCCCCTGATTAAGTACCGCTATTGTAATGTAAAAAAAAACCACTGACACACTGTGCAATTCAGCAAAATATATCAAATGGCACGATACAGCTGTATAAATTGGGCTGTCTGTTACGATACACAGTGTCCTCTTAATATAAGTGAATGTCCTATGAATATGCATCTCATTTGCAAGTAATATTGTATGATTGTATACAGAGGATTTAAAATGGAATATTTTCCATGTGCAGGTACAAACTATGTGGAAAGATGAGGAAGTGTCAGCATTGGTTGAGTATATTGCTTTGTATTATTCACCTGATGAAAATTCATTCAACGTATGGCCAGCTGGTAAAAATGATGAACTTTGGGAGAAATGTGCTGATGCTGTTAACTGTTACAACATCGGGAACAAGTGATCTGGTAAGTAAATCTGGATTAAGTCTAATAGAGATTATTTATAGTACGGTACCTGTAGCTATTATGAACTACCGATAATTCACCTAAAATACACCCACAGTATTTTGTTTTACTATTAACTTGATTATTACCAGACAATTAAAATTATTGATTCAATATCTCTGTTATATAATATCTATTTAGGAGATGCATGTAGAAATATGGTTAGAAGATACTTAAAGGAGAAGTTCCCAACAATTGCATCTGCTGAAGAAGCTTATGGAATTTCCTATTTTGGTGAAAAGGTAAAATATAGATATATAAATATATAATTACATCATGTAAATTTTACTATTCATATCATACTGTAGGTATCAAATGCAGGCCAGAGTGTACCATCTACTCCACATGGTGTGTCTGGTCATATTACATCTGCAAGATCTCCACTGCTTGGATTTTCTCCCTTACGTGATGCAGATTTTACCAAACTTCCAGGCTGTATTCTTGATATTGTGTCCTCTGGGTTTTCAAGTCTAACTCCACGACAACGAGAACAATTACTCATCCACTTGTTTCAAAAATGGATGGTAGAAGACATTAACCCTCGTTTAGATGCAACATTCGTCCCTCCACAGCTCTTACCACTTGTTGTCAATGCTATGTCTGTACTCCGTGCTGGTAATAAAGATAATCTGATTTATCACGCTGCTCTATGCTTTGGAGAACAACGCCATGGAGATGTTGGTCCTAGAATGCCATTAGATAGAATGCCCTTTGGTCTCATTGCACATAATCTGAAGTTTTTTGCATCCAACCAAGTTTCCAACCTTCAAGCTCCAGATGACTACAAATCTTGGTGTCAGTCCATGTATGCTTTGTTTGGAAACAAGTGGGCCTCAATGCACTTGGGGCCAATGTGGTCCTATGAGTTAGAAAGGGAGCATGTATCGGTTACTAATGATTCTTCATTAAGTTTAGATATCATAAGCCAAGCATTGCAAGAAACGTTTGGAGATGACTCGGATGTGGTAAGTATGGAAAACCCATTGCCTGTCCTGAAGAATGTGCAAGATACTAGCATTGCTGATGATGTGGCAAAGTCTGGAAGGGCCATAAAAGGAGACCCATTAAAGGTACGTAATAATTTAATGAGCATCAATGTGGTGTTATTAATGTGTTGTAGGGGTATATACTGTATCTAAAACATCCATGAGTAGTGAGTACATTGCAATTAAGATATCCAAAAATAGTAAAATACAGTAGTAATATTAACTAAATTCTTCCTCTCTCTGCTATTGAAGTAACTTTTCTCTGTCTCATAGGCCAAGATAAATATTGCTGGGCCATCTTCACAAACAATTCGAAGAATGACTGAGAACAATGATTATAGCAAGGGCACTGAAATTCAGGTATGTATGTTTGCTTATCAACAACTTATATATACTATATACACTATCTGTATACACTATATGATGGATGTATTTTAACAGACATCTGCTTTGAAATTTCTTCACAACGCCTACCCAAATGGAAGGTGGTGGTTGAAAGCTGATGGTACTGACATTCAAGAGGGACTCAGAGAATCAATGAGAAATGAATGGTCAGGTGATGTAGATTTAGGAGATGGTAAGTTAGGAATTAAGTATTCCAAATACTTAGAATACCTTAAGCTTGTCAGCAATATAGGGTTGAAGGACAGGGCTTCCTCTGACAACATCAAAGAAGACCTTCAACAGATGTGTTCTAAGCTATCCACAGAGAGTGAATTCCTGACAAATGGTCATGCAGATGCCAAGAAGGATTACATGAGCGTCCAGGATATGGCCAACTCTACAGAGAAAGCATTGTTTGCATGTGCGTGGAATGTAGAAGAGTTCAGTAAGTTGCTGGAGAAGAATGCGTACTTGTTGCAGTCTTTGAAACAACTCTGGTTAATCTACGTAAAGAATTACAGGATTATGTCAAAGGTACTAGACTATTATTTTTCAGGAATTTTATTGTAAATAAATTGTTAGCTTTACTTGTATGACACATCATAACAAATGTTGTGGACAGTTATTGGAAAGTCCTTAAACATCACTAGATCAGTTTAACGTTCTCTTATAAAATTGTATTAATATTTCAGGAATTACCTCAAAGACACGAGTAGCAGCATCTCACATACTGATATTCATGGTAAGTGATGAATTGAGAAATTTCAAACCATATGCTATTCCTGTTCGTGTTCTTAAGTACAGCAGTCTGACAGACAAGAATGCACGAGACCTGAAGGAAGAATTGAAAACTGCAATGGAAGACATTGGCATGGTAACTGTAGGTATGTACCAATTATGAGTATTTTTAATGTTGTATACTTTTACTGTATTATTTCTATTATGCCCCCTCTCTCAAATAAGTCCCCTCTCTAATAAGCCCCCTCTCTAATAAGCCCCCTCTCTAATAAGCCCCCTCTCTAATAAGCCCCACCCTTTTAAGAGGAATAAATTTATTAAACACCCCTTTCTATTTAGCCCCTATCCCCATTCATATGAATATAACACATTGTACATAACATACGTTATAATACATACCAACATGTTACAGTATGATACAATTGTTAAAGATGGATTTCATAATCGATGCTTGTGAAAATTATGTAAGATTTTATGGATAACTAAATAAGCCCCTCCCCCCTTCTAATAAGGCCTCTTCAATATGCTGTATTACAGGTATGTATTTCATTCAAAGGTTTTGTTACTGATGGTGAGTTCAATTCATTGCGAACACAAGGTAAATATAGACCTGTCTCAGTCATTCAGCTGATTATGGACGCCAAGAATGAAGCACGGGCGATACCTGCCAAGGAGATTGAGAAATTCTTCAAGTCTGTAAAGAAAGGTAATTATACTGCACATAGTATTGTTGTATCATACCAGTAACATAATACCCTGTGAGATACAGTATATACAAGAAACTGCCATTTACTGTTAGTAATAGCTATTGTAGCACGTACTGTATACATGTAGTATTCTTAATTTGGTATAAGCTTATAATATTTGAGACATACTGTAAGTTCTTTTGTTTAAAGATGTTATAAGCGAATCGTACAGGATTAAACATAGTGAGTTGCAGTGGCGGTGGAACAGGGGGGGCTAGGGGGGCTAAAGGCCCCCCAGAAGTAAAAGTGGGGGGCTTAGCCCCCCCAGAAAATTTTGTTTTCTCTGGAAAAATTTTGATAATTAAGGAAAAATGTAGGTTATTTCTGGAAAATTTAGGTATAAGGGGGAAAATTTGGGATATTTTGTGTAAAAATCGAGTATGTCCGGAAAAATTTTTTGTTATAGGTCCGGAAATATTTTTTTCATCCCTTTTCTTGTATATGTCCGGAAAATTTTTTCTACCCCTAAAATGGTACACTGACCGAAATTTTTTTGGCGACGGGGGTGGGGGTGGGGGTGGGGGGGATGTCACGGAAAAAAATTTAGCGCCCCCAAACTGAAATCCGTTTCGCCGCCCCTGGTGAGTTGTAGACATTCTCTGGCTAAAATATGAATTGAAATACAAGCTTTTGACTGCCAGTCTGCAGTCTTCGACAGGAATTTACAATGAAAAATATATATACAGTGGTATAGAATACAGATTTTTGATCAAGAAAGTATCATATTTATAGCAAACCACTATATACAATTTTTTCATCATAAATTGCCCATCGTAGACTGTAGACTGGCAGTCAAACGCTTGTGTTCTGTATTCAAATAAATATTTTAACTCATGATGCAGAACGTCTACTGTACAGCAACAACTCACTAAGTTCTTTGTGTTCTGTGATTAACAGAAGGTGTAGTTTTGCCTGTGAAAGGTCACAATGCTATTCGGTTTGCAGATGTTCAGTGGTTAGCAGAGTATATGAATGGTGAACCCAAAGTTTCATTTCTCAATGCAATCAGGATACTTTGCAGAAAACACTTTCCGTTTTTTTATGACCCACACCCTTGGGTTGCAGGTAAGGTATCTATGTAACATATGCCACAAACTAGATTTACTGTTACTTCTCAATCTCTCAACTTTACTCATTTACAATTTTAGCTACAATATCAAGATTAATCTCAAATAATTTACTTGTAATATAATGTACAGTAAATTTTTTTTTTCTGTTATGTAAAGGTAAAACTGAGTCGAAATCTGACTGTTTGAAATCCCTTATGGCGATGTACCTCTTCAAGAATAAAGTATTTACTTTAGAACATATTTATGTTCTGTGCACAAGGTGTTAACTTTCAGGATTATTTGTATGTGCCAGAGGTAAGTGAACGCACAGGTGAACCTCAACAAGAGCGTGAAGACCACAACCATGTGCTAAAGAGAATAGCTGGCAGTTTGAGAAAGAGGCATATCCCAAATGTGGATCTTCAAGCATTTGTCAAGGCTATGAATAATGCAGAAACAGGTTTGACCTACACTGCATTGACAGGTAAGAGAAAGCAGAGTGTGGGTGACACCGAGAAATTGTTGTCACCTGCAGTTGCTAAATGGTTGAAAGCTAATGGTTTCTTGAATGAAGGTAGATTTGTAGAGATTGTATCAAACTGGCACAAGGCAAGTGATGGTCGTGGACTGACGGAAACTGACCGTAAGAAGTACAACCTGGCGATGTTGGATTATATATTGGAAGACTGGATGCCATGGTACAAGGAAGAAGGAGATTATTCAACATTAGATGTCAATAGGTACATGTGATGCACGCTTCTTTGCTCTTTTACTCTGTCTAATGCCAGACAATTTTAATTGTCAAGGGGAGATTTTTGTGCTTTAATGAGTTAATAGAGTTTTATAAATTGCATTAATTTCAGTGCATATTGGACATACCTGTAATGTACTGTACTGAATTTAATGTGCACTTCTGTTAATTTATAGACCTATCAGAGGAATTAGAGGATTCACTAGAGAAGTTGTGGTTGCACTAACAATGAATATTGAAAGTCAGGTTTGTTTATAAATGTGCCTTACAAATGTGTGGAGAAATGTGCAGTCATTTCATAATTAGGGACCGTTCATTAATTATACATCAGGGTGGGCTGGAGGAAAAAGAGCAGAAACGGTGCAAGTTTTCCATGACCCCCCCCCCCATTAAGGTGTTAATTTTTTCATGACCCCCCCTTCCAACCTACAATTTTTTTCACAACCCCCCTATTTATTTTCACCAAGTCGTATAAAAGGGGGGGGGGGTAAAAAAATTTTCTGGACAAACATAAGCATAGTCTAAAAATTTTTCCAGACTAACATAAGCATATTCAAAATTTCTCCACCAACATAAGCAACGCTTCCAATTTCTTCAGCACAAACATAACAAAAGATTTAAAACTGTTAAAATTGCAAACCATTTCATCAAATGGTTTTGGTTGTGAAGGCTTAAGAGTGAATGTCAAAAATATTTTAGCAAATTTGCGGCAACGGTCGTGAAATCGATTCCGCTCATATTTTAGCTATATATAGGCCCTAATGTAAGAAATACCACTGTGTAGTTTGCTTGGTGAAATACGGCTTAGTATTCGATAAAATCGCAGAAAATACTTTTCGAATTAAATTCGCTAATTTTGAGCCAATAATTTAGGTTAACTTCAACAACTTCTCGGGGCGAAACAAAATAACCCAGCGCTGTAGTAATCTCACGCGATGTTAATTGCTATCTTAATATGCAACAGGTAGAGTTTCAGCCATTATTGTTCGGGGTTTTGATTTTTATTGAAGTTATTTTTGGAACACATAGAAAATCTCTCTCAAAATATGTTCAAAGTAAACTAATATTTTTCCATGTGCGACGAAATTTTTTTTACTATAAAACAACCCATAATTGCCTTTAAATGGTGTATTTTGTGAATCGTTTACAATTTTCTTGGGGAAATTATTTTTTGTGATGCAGCGCATCCCCAAAGTTGTAAGAAATTTACAAATTTTGCCTGTCGGCAAGATCAATCAATTTATATATTGTGTACATATGTAACGTTTATAAAAGCGGCTCAGTGTTTGTATTTTAAATTAAGAACAAACTGAATGTTCTACATTGTAAAAGGAACTGACTAATCACAAACTATGTTAAATTCCCCTTTTAAAATCCATCGATTGACCCATATAGTGTCTACTAGTAAGTGCATAATATTGGTGTCTATTTCTATCTATCGTCAAACTCACATTTTATACGAGTCATTTCGACAAAACGAATATTTTATGTGTAATAAACAAACCGGACATAATTCATTGACATTTTAAAAATATCCTGTCCTTTTCAGCTGCTCGTCTTTTATGCTTATCATTCCGGATACGTTATCGAGGGTTTACTAATATTAGTATAAAGATGATCCTCTTTAAATAATAGAATATTCTGACGTGTTTACCTTTGATGCCATATCATTGTAATCTAGTTCAGCAACCGCAACTTTGAACCAGTTTTTCTAGCAAATCAATGTACGGTTTTTTGAATTTGCGCTTGCCAGTGCTGTCAGTAATATTAAGTTCGAATGAAGAACAAATTTCTTGTAGCATGTAAACAGAGAATTTGGAAAGTTTTCTTTGATTTGTTAATTCACAAATATTGTGCCTATCGAACATTATTGGATGCTTCAGGCCAATTGCGTCAATCAAGGAAGCTGATAATTCTTCGATTTCTTGTCCTTTTCTCTTTTCGAAATCTTTCTTATTTAAATCGTCTTCCTCGTAGTCATTGTCATCACCATCACCCCTTTCTTCATTATCTTTATCGCCTGCTGTATTTTCCCTTCTTTTTTTCGCCAATCGTGAGAAGAAACTTGCAATCTGCTGCGGTGTTAAAAAGTCGCCCTTGTTAAAAAGTCACGAGCCGTCACTGTTTCTTGTAGATTTTACTGGATCCTTCTTCCAGTTTTGTTGCATATAGCTTCATAGCCTTGTCATAAAGGGTTTCATGCTCTAGTACGTAGGTATGGTTGTCACAATGCAAATGTCTTTCTAGAGAAGAGTACGTGTGGAATGATTTAATGCAGCCTTGTTCAGGACAGAGAAATAATTTGCTGTACGTGTCGACTCTTTCATCATTGCTTTCGTCCTCCATTGGATCAGTATTATTTTGTTCGCGAGATTTCTTTGGCTGTTGTCTTGCTTTCACTGCGACGAATGATACTGTGTCCTCGGTTTCCTCGCTATGGATAAGTTTTGGTACCGTTGGGGGTCGACAGAAATTGGTTAAAGGAAGGACTTTGCCTGGACCATTATTGTATGCCATCCACACCGTCATGGACTCGTTGCGGTACTCTATGTTGTTAAGGAGACTCACACCATCCCATTCCCCTGCCAGGTGGTGGAGCGCACACTGTTACTTTCACTCCTGGGGTGCCTTCAAAGGACTCGATTGCTGCCTTCATTTGCTCGGGATTTTCGATATCGTTCCCTGAATTCAGGTATTTATTCATGTGATTTTTAATATGAGCTGCCTTTCGGTCGCACGCTCCCTTCCCCCCTTGGGGATCGGAAAAATCGATACGTCTGATTTGAATTCCAGTTGATCTCTCTATTGTTGGCAGAGAAAGCAGAGTTAATGCAGAGTGGTAGCACCCTGCATTATCTTGACACAGATATACGGTATGCACCTCTGGTGCAATGGTTGAGATCTGACTTAAGACGTCATGAATGATTGCGACAACAGCGCCACTATCCTGGCTACAAGACTTAAACAAGTGCAAAAAAGTAAGAATTTGGAGGTCGCCATCATCATTCTTCTTTGTTAATACCGCTATGTGCCAAGGAAGTCCCCGTTTTGCAAACCAATCTCTTTGGCTTTCGCGGTATTTGCGAGGAATGAATTTCATTGCCCAGTCTAAAACGATAAGTGCAGAATGAGAATCCAAGACTTTTAAAATGTCGTGTCGTGCTGCGTCCTGATTAATTGATCTTAAAATATGTGCTTTCCAGGATCTAATGTGTTGAGCTGCTTGTGTAGTAACGTACTCCATGTTTTCTTTCTCTTCAAGAGGGCAATTTACTTCTTCCAAAGATGCGCAAATATCAGCTAGAGTCTCAGGAAATATACTGCATCTATCACACTTTCCCTTGTGCTCATGATCACAGCTGTTAGTATAATTTTCATCATTTGGAAAACTGAGAGCATATGTTCTGCAGTGGTCCGCAACTTCAGAATTGCTAGAAATGTGAATCTAAAAAGAATATATGAATCAGATACAAAATCAACTATTCTAGAATGATTCTTACATGCACGAATCTACAAAAAATACAATAAGCTTTCACTTGTTTATACCTTGTAGTCTCCTTTTAAGTAACGTTTAGCATCTTTGAGTTTTTGGTTTGTTTGTTTGGCCCATGCCAAACCCTTGCCATAACGATCTCCAAGCATGTCAACGACGTTCTCTAGATCATCAAAGGCCTGACCACCCATTGCTGATATATAATCGAGGCCTTGCAACGACGTATGTGCGGAAGCAGAACAGACTTTAAGAACCCTGCGCAATGTACTGCGGCTCATCGGTTGGAATCTCACCTCTTTGCAATATCCTTCGTACTGTTGGATACATTGTTCTGGTATAAGATTGCGCACAACGTTGGGAATCTTTATTTCTCTGTGAGTGGACAGTTTTAGTGTTTTTTTCTCCAAATGGTAAGTCTTGTATGATATGCGAGCTTGTAATAAAAGTAACAAAATGGTCGATTTTTTCCGGCTGAATGTAAACTCTCGTATTCTTTAAATGGGGGAGTTCCGCGCCCCTACCGTGAAGCAACAGATGATGTTTTGCAATATTGAAACGATATCTGGTCAAGGTTGGTATCCATTTTTGCAGTTCTTCGAAGGTAACCTTATCAACCATTATAGACAATATCTGTCTACGCGTGCTCCAATGGCTCGTGTTATTATAACACTCCGTTAAAGCATCCAATAAGAAAGTATCAATATTTTTATCACTGCCCAACTTGTCGCATGCTAATTCTTTAAGTAGCGTGGATGATTGTCCAGGAACGATTTCTTCTAGGCACGCAGTAACAAGCTGTTTTAAGGTACCCATGCATGGCCGTGTTGCAAACGTTAAGCCCAAAAGACGGGCGACAGAAAAGGACAGGAAATTTCGAAAATTTAAGTGAACGATAATGTCTGAAACTCTACCTGTTGTATATTAAGATAGCAATTAACTTCGTGTGAGAATACTACAGTGCTGGGTTATTTTGTTTTGTCCCGAGAAGCTGTTGAAGTTAACCTGAATTATCGGCTCAAAAATAGCGAATTTAATTTGGAAAGTATTTTTTTCGATTTTCCCGAATACTAAGCCGAATTTCACCAAACAAACTACACAGTGGTGTTTGTTACATTAGGGCCTATATATAGTTAAAATATGAGCGGAATCGATTTATCAACCCTTGCCGCCCAATGTTCGATTTTTGCTGACAATCACTCTTAATATTTGAAACTGGTCAACCTAAAATATTAATAATTACCACAAATAATTTTGGCAACCCCCCCCTTTCATTCTGAAAACACCTTAAAGGCCCCCCTAATTTTCCTCCAGCTCCCCCTGGTCCTTAATTAATGGACGGTCCCTTACAGTATATTATTGTTACAGGAGTTCAGACGGAGATGTGGACTCGAAAAGGGGCTTCTTCCTGAACATCCAAGAGCAGGATTAACTGATGATGTTGAAGGCATTTTTGCTTTCTTGCATGGACTGCTTGGACCAATTTTCGATGAAAAGGATTTTCATGATGCCTTCCCGAAAGTTATTAGCGAGTACACCAAGAAATGTGATCCTGACTTGCCCTTTTACTACTACACTGGATCCAATGACCGATATAATGACGGTTTAATACAGTCATCTATTTCTAGACGAGCTGATCCTGGGATTTTTGTGACAAATCGAGCTGTGATTCCTCAGCGTGGACAACTCAGTGTTAGAACATCCCATTTTAAACCAGCAGAGAGCTTGCCACCACCACCTGCTCCATAGAATACTGTGGTAATGATTTGTTGAGTGACATTAATTACAGTAGTACTGTATATATGTACTGTAGTTTGCAGTTTAAAATGCACATACATCACAGTTATTGTATGTGTACACAACCATGTATTATTCTCTATATAATAGCATGGGTTTGAGTGCAATTGAGGGGAAAATATGCACAGTGAGTTTCTCAAAATCCAAATGACGACGAAAGTCTCACGAGTGTATCTTTTTCCAAATCGCACGAGAAACCATATTACTTATTGATATACATGAAATAATTATGCAGTCACATACGTGCATGGGTCACATGCAAAATAGTTAATTTTAATAACAAATATTTTAACAGAAAATCTGGTAAAAATGCCATCTACTGTATTTTTGTGGCATGGAAATGTTTAAGTTTTTTGGTATTATTTCCCTGCTAGAAATGGCTGTATCTTATAGTCGATAAAATTTGCACTGTATTTCAAAACAATACACTGCTCTTAGCCAATCAGAATTGAGAATTTTTTTATGTATATTATTAAGAAATTTACAGTGTTTTGTAGTATGTGGCAATACTACAGTCATTTAGAGATGTTCATATTCAGAGCAAATATAGTACAGTAAAGACCTATATAAAAGAACCATTATACTGATCAACCAACCACAATAAATTTATGTAAGAATACTGTGTACAAATACCATGTCAGGTTGACAAACAAAACTGTATTTTTAAACATTTTAATTAACTTTTATTAGTTTTAAGGGCATATATGAAGACCATCTATGGACTCTTATTTTTATTAGAAAAGGACTATTTAATGGGAAACACACTTAGCTTGTTCTAGCTATCATTTTTTATTTTATACTGTCAGACAATAATTCGGCTAGCATGTTGGTTCTTATAATTATGGAGGTTTTTATTGTATTATCATGTATCACAGTGCAAGGGGTGCAAACACAATGGAATTCCCTACAGGTAAATTTGCAGGGGGTGCAAACACAATGGTGAAAACAATGAATTCAAGATGGCGTTGTTAACCTTGTAAAGGTCTATTGAATAAATATTATATAAATATAAATCTTCTTGTTTTATCGTTGCATTTAATTTTAATCTGAAAAAAATACTCACAAAGTAGGTCAGGTGCAGCATGGATAATTTATTAATTTATTTACTAAAGCACATTTTTACAGTTGCATACTTATTTGCATGAGTGTACATGACAGATTATTTTAATTTGATATACCCAGTTATAATTAACCTATGTTTTGTTTAAAAAATGCTGGGAAAAAATCTAAAAAGTTAGCCAATTGAACTAAATGCACATCAATAACCTGCTGAACATAGTTGCTATTATTTATATCAAAAACATCTGTCAACATACACTCATGCTTTTCCTTACCACTAGATTCTCCCACTCACCACGCCTCTTTATGACAATTTTTGGATAAAATCGTATTTTAAAAAAGTCAACCCTATACTTGATATGCCGAACATAGACATCCAAGATATCTCCTGCAGCGATTAGTGGGTGCAAATATTTGCATAGTTCTGAAGCAATATAACCAACATGTGCCCATCCAGTTCCATAGTCTAGATCAATTGCTATTGCACTTGTGTCCCTTGGATTCAATGGCTCTGGCCGTATTCTTACAGTCACTGGTTTATTTTGTTCATGAAGAGTGAGGTATGCCTTTTCCAAATGATGTTGGTAGTTTTTCTCATGAGCAGCACCAATGCACTTGAATGGTACAGCGTGGGTGATTTGTTCCTCCTCATCACTTTCATCATCCCTTTCACTTAATTCATCATCACTTTCTGCTCTACCACTTTCACTTAATCCGTCATCACTTTCTGCCCTATCACTTTCTACAAAATCATAACAAATAACAAGAAAATAATTATTGCATAACTGTCATCTCAAAAAATAGCAATTTTTGCACATGTAACCTCTAAAATTATATTCTCAAGACCTAAAAGAGTGCGTATTAATTTTATAGAACAACACAAACATAGCAATATTTAGATGAAAATTGAAAAATATCAAACTACAGTTTGCAGATTTAAACAACCAGCTAGAACCAGATAAAACAGGCATACGGTACTTCAGCGAAAATTTATAAATCAAAACATACAAATATCAACAATACCTTCAGACTCATCATCTGAATGTTCATCATCTGAATTATTCCTACTTTGTCCATCATTAAGATTGTCTTCGTTTCTTTCTGTTGGTTCTTGAGAATGTTCTCTTTCAGGAGTCTCGTCTAAAGGAGGTAGTAAAACCTTGTTCGTATCTGGAAAGTTAGAACAATTGCAACTTACCACATCCACGGCCAGCAATGGGGTCTCCAGAATATTGTCGAAATCAGGCACAACCGCAGCCACTGCAATCGTATTCGCTGTCAATATATGATCCACATCAAAATCCCAAATCAAAAGCATATGCTGGGTGTTTTCATTAGCAAACTCATCGGGGATGGTGTCAAACTAAAGGGTTAAATAAAAATAACACGCCATAATTTGTACAGTGTATTTCGAGGTTATTTATAAAATTCAGTACAAATATTTTGAAAACTGCAAAGCGTGAAAGCGGAAATTGACCAAATAACAAGTCTAGTCAACTGTAATCAATTGTAGTATACCAACCTTAAATATTGCGCTTGTTTTCACGTTGATAATACAAGGAGATTTAACGCCATCCAACTTGGAAAGAAGAGCCTCGCTATTGGGAATAACACAACTCCTTCGCTCGGACGGATTATCCATAAAGCTAAAATGACAGCATGTCCCATGCAATTTTAAAAAAGGTAAACTTGGTACAGTAAAACATAAGTCATAATGAGGATCGCAACAATACAGCAATAACATGCTATTTTCACGAAGTATCGCAGCCTGACACTCTTGTCGTTCGAAAGCTTCCATATTGGTTTAGAGAGATGTTCACTCCTCGACAGTCAAAAGTCAATGAAGCGACCGCATGGAATTAGGCGCTCGATACCCATGATGCTTTGTGGCCTGCTGTCCAACCTCCTCTGCTCTTATCCCATAGTGACTAAGTTTCTCGATAAGAATTTTGTGGTTCACAGTATCAAATGCCTTACTTAAATCAATGAATACACCTACAGAAAATTCTTTTTTATCAATTGAGTTTGAGAAGTTATCAATTAAGTCCAAAACTGCCATAGAGGTTGAATGATTTTTTTTTAATCCAAACTGATTATCAGAAAGAATGTTGTGTTTAGTAAGATATTTTATGAGTCTTGCATAGACAACTCTTTCAAGAATTTTAGAAAAAATTGGGAATATTGATATGGGACGATAGTTAGAGAATTTTTTGTTGTCATCAGCTTTGAAAATGGGGAGGACTTTGGCAACTTTAAGTTGGTCAGGTACTCTGCCCGACTCCATAGATATATTGAAAATGTATGAAAGAATGGATGCAAGTGGCTCTGCAGCCTGTTTGATTACAAAAGGATCTAGACAGTCTGGACCTGGTGATTTATTAGGATTAAGTTCTCTTATTATAGCAAATATTTCATTATCATCAGTAGGGTAGAATACAAAGGAGTTGGGGTAAGACCCTGTTAAGAACTGAGTGAATTTTGTTTGAGTATATGGAATTTTAGAAGCAAGGTTAGTACCAACATTTACAAAGTAATCATTAAAGGTATTGGCGATCATTTCAGGATTTGTGATATCGCTATTGTTATGGGTAAATGAATTGGGATAATTGAGCTGAGGTTTAGATTTATTTAATAGTTCTTTCAAAGTTTTCCAGGTAGCTTTAATGCTGGTTTTAACAGATTTGAATTTATGATTATAAAATTTTTTTTAGCTATCCTGGGATGATTAAGTTTATTCCTGTATATTTTGTACTTTTGTTCATATTTGGCTGTCCTATTTTGCAGGAATTTGCTGTAGAGTTTATTTTTAAATTTGATAGATTTGATTAATCCCTGTGTTATCCAGGGCTTTTGGGATTGGTGTTTTGTTAGTTTAACCTTTGTTAATGGAATATGCTGATTATACAAGGTATTAATGTGATCAGAAAAAAGGGTATAGGCAGAGTTTGGTTCAGATGTGGAGAATACTGAACTCCATTCGGATGACCCTAAAGAGTCCAAAAATATATTCACCTTTTCCCTTGTGTAATTCCTTTTTTAATTAAAGGGAGAGGATCTTGGTTTGGGCATATTCACAACCATGATAGAGAAGATGGGTAGACCATAGATGATCAGAGATGTCAGTAAGTAGGATACCAGATGAAAAAGACTGGGTATAGTTGTTGGAAAATATATTATCCATCAAAGTTGCAGAATAGGTAGTGATTCTAGTTGGCCTAAATATAGAAGGACATAGGGAGTGAGACAACATTATTTCAAAAAAATCACTGGTAAGGTTGCATATTTCAGTATTTAGTAAATTTATGTTGAAGTCACCCATAATATGAACAGATTTATTAGAGCTCCCAAGGCCACCCAATGTATTTTCAATATAGTCATTAAATTTCTTAATATCACCATTTGGTGGTCTATATATTACTCCAATTATGGTACTGGACTTGTCAAATTTCATCTCAACAAAAATTGATTGACAAACATTATCATCATTGATTTCAAGGTCATTTAATCTAACAATTTCATATTATTGTCATTTAATCTGTTGAAATTAAGGTTTTGGTTTAGACATAAACCCACTCCACCACCATGCCTATCACTACGACTGCAAGATAGAAGTTTATAATCATCAATATTATAAAAAGATAAATCACAGTCACTTGGAATCCAGGTTTCAGTGATTCCAATAACTGGGAAGGGGAATTTTTAGTAGGTTTAGATAGTTGGTAATTTTGTCAAAGTTGTGTGAAAGACTACGTGCATAAGATGCATAAGTGACAAGGCATTAGGGTTTGAAGAGAATTTAGTTTTGAACCTTTCTTCATTAAAATATTCAGAGTCATGGTTTACATTATTGTTGCCAGCATAAAATTGGTTATCTGGATCAAGATCAGGTGAATTTACAAGAGGTGAAGTAAGTAGATATGGATTGAATACCAGGTCTTTAAAAGAGTCATAGCAAGAGTTTAGTGGACTATAATCCTGAATTGCCAGCAAAAATTCAGTATTATCTTCAATTTGATTGAATGGAAAAATAGTTTGAAGGCAGGGTGAGCAAAACCAATCAACTGAGTTATGGTGTAAGGCAATGTGATCGCCTCTGCTGAATTTAGTGCATTTTAGATGAACCCACTTCTTACACATATCACAAAGTATTGCTTTCTGATTAACTTGCACATATTTGGCACAAGTACTACAAGATTGCTTCGCCTCTATTATGGAATAGAGCAAAAAAAAGGAGAAAGAAGAGTCGCTAGTGTAATTATTCTAACGACTTAAGTTAATATGAGTATGAGTGATCTTATTATTCAAAGTTCATACCATATCATGTAAGCTTATTAATGATATTAAGTTTAAAAATGTGATTATATATTGAAGTAATTATGTTTTGACGATTGTCGATACATTATGACAAGATTTCATAGTATATATAATATCATAAAATTTTATCATAATTATATAAATATAGATAATTATATAAATTTTGTTTTGTAATTTATAGACAGAAGTATTTATATAATTTTGAGGATAGTCAATAAATTATGAGAAAAAATATATACTGGTATTAACCTAGGCACACAAATTGATTAATAACCTAAACACGCAAATTTAGTCAATACAAAATAGTTAATACAAGTAGAGTTTGAATACCTCTTTATGCAATTACTTGGTTGGGGGAAGCTTGACTAAATCCTTCGGGTGTTCAATTATGATTTTGTTTTGGCTTCCATTTAGAAGGCATATAATTCTACCATCCAGGGTCCATGTTGTTGCTACTGCTGGATTATTACTTGCAAATACCCCCAATGCCCAAATTAATAACCCATGTCAATTCTAGTAATCCTATGCCAGAATTTCAAGGAATAAATTCTGGGTCTGCTGGGCAGACAACTGCTGTGCCAAGCTCTGTGTTTCCTCTGAGACCAAGTACATCTGTAGTCCCACCCAGACCGGAACCAACAGTTCTCCCCGCGAATACATATTCATTGCCCTGGACTTTAACCCATCCGGTATTGTCCTATCAACAACCATCATACAATCCTCAGACATGGGATACTACGTGGAATCCTTACATGTGCAATGTAGGTTTACCCCCCCCCCCCTAAATTCAAACCATGGAGCACAAGTTTCAGGGAAAATAGACACTAACATTGAGATTGTTAAGGCTCTTAAGCAAGTGGTTGCCACACCAAAGATAGAATATATGCACTTTGATGGGAATCCTATCAAGTTCCCCTCATTTATGCACAATTTTGAAACATGTCTTGAAAGAAATAATGACAGTGACGAATCAAAGTTGCAACTGTTGATTCAGCATTGCCATGGTAAGGCAAAGGAAGCCATTGACACCTCTGTCAATTTGCCTGCAGATGAAGGATATTGTGTTGCTAAGAAGACCCTGACTGAGAACTTTGGTAAGCCACATATAATTGCTAGGGCTCACATTAAGAAGTTAGTCAATCTTCCCAGTATAAAGAAAGCTGATGGTTCTTCGTTGCTTGAGTTTGCACGACATCTTGAGTCCACTAATCGGACACTTAAGGGAATGGGTCCAGAATATGTCAGTGACTTGGATCATGTGAACACCTTGAAGGAGTTAAATAGAAAACTTCCGATGTTCATGAAAGCAAGATGGACTGAGGAAGCTCGAAAGATATATGAGCGTAATTCCACACCACGATTTGAAGATTTTCTTAATTTTATCAAGAAGAAAGCTACTTTGATGAACAATGAATTTGGAGATGACCTCACCTCTAGTGATAGTAAGGACAGGGCTAAGGAGAAATGGAGAAATAATGAGAAAGGTGGGCACTTTAACAAAGGGAACATTGCGTTAATGGTAGGAATGAAAAGGGATGAGAATGGGAAGTTGAATTCGAGTGTTACACGAAGAAATTTCTCCATGTGTTCTGGTCCGCATGGAATATGGCAATGTGAAAAATTTCGATTACTTTCATTGACAGAGCGCAAGAAGGTTGTCACAGAGAAGTCACTCTGTTTTAAGTGCCTTGCAGTTGGTCATTATGCTCGGATGTGTCTAATGAAACACTTTCGATGCCAATCCACTGGTTGTGGAAAGGAACACCATACATTGTTACATCCAGTAGATGTGATGGAAGCAAAAAAGAAAGGAAATACCACAAAGGTCAGGAGGAGCCAGGCAACAACCATCCAATGGTGAAATTAGCGGCGAAGATAAGGTGATAGCTGCAACTGGGGCCGGTGAAACTCGTGTATGTCTGGGAGTGATACCAGTAAAAGTTTGAGCAAAGAATGGAGACAGTTACGTAGAGACATATGCACTACTGGACAGTGGTTCGGAGGTAACACTCTGTCAGGAGGAGCTGACTAAGAAGTTGCAATTCTATGGTAAGAAGATGAACTTTACTCTAACAGGAATGACCGGCTCACAGAATGTAGAAAGTCAACTTGTAGACATTGTAGTGGAATCTATGGATGGGACAACAGTAGTTGAACTTGAAAATGTTCGAACAGTCAAGGATATCCCTATATCAAAAGATTGTATCCCAAGAAAGCAAGATCTAAGGAAATGGCCTCACCTTCAGAACATTGACCTTAGCGAAGCTAAGTGCGACAAAGTTATGCTGATAATTGGATTGAAGGAGATCCCGCAATTATTCTTACCGCTCGAGTACAAGGCTGGTGAAACGAGTGAGCCAATAGCAGTTCATTACAGTCTCGGTTGGACGATTATGGGATCAGTTGGGAGCGAAAAGGGGAGCTCGGAATATTCTGTTAATCTTCTTCAAATGAGTACATCGAACGAAACAAGTTTCTTTAATCAAATCAGGGAATTTGAAAACGATGAATTAAAGACAGCATACCCAGTGAACGAAGAACGGTTAGATGATGCGAAGTGTTTGAGCTCTTCTCAACAAAGTGATATTGATAACTCTCAGTCGGTCGTGAATACACCAGTGCGAGACAGAGTGGAAGAAGGCGACTTTGAAGAGAATACCCTTAGACAGCAAATTGAAGGTCTTTGGAAGACTGATTTTGGGAACACTATAGTCGATACCAGACCTGGTCCATCGGTAGAAGATAAAAGAGCGTTAGAGATGATGGAAGATTCGATCCAGAAAGTTAATGGTCATTATCAAGTTTCATTACCGTGGAAATCATATCCACCTGATCTACCAAATAATCGAGACCTCGCCGTTCGAAGGTGCGAACTGCTGAGGCGACGGCTGTTGAAAGATGGAGATCTGTTGTTGAAATACAAATTCACCATGTCTGAATATATCAAGAAAGGACATGCTGAAAGAGTTCCAGATGAAGAGCTAAACGTGACTGACAAACCTGTATGGTATCTCCCACACCATCCTGTGGTGCATCACTTAAAGCCAGATAAGGTGAGAGTTGTTTATGACTGTGCAGCCAAGTATAAACAGACATCTTTAAACCAACAGCTATTGCAAGGCCCAGACAAAGCGAATTGTCTGGTTGGGGTATTAAGTCGTTTTCGGAAAGAATCCATCGGAAGTGTAGCAGACATCGAATTGATGTTTCATCAAGTAATCGTTGATCCAAGAGACTGTGATGTTCTAAGGTTCTTGTGGTGGCCGGACGGTGATCTAACCAAACAACTGGTTGAATATCGGATGACGAAACACGTTTTTGGAGCGAAATCTTCCCCCAGTATTGCCGATTTCTGCCTGAAGAAAACAGCAGATCTGGAGAAAGATGGTATAGAACCTGAAGCGGTAGAGACGGCTAAGAAGAACATGTACGTAGACGACCTAATGAAGTCAACGAGAACAACTCAGAAAGCTATTAACTTAGTAGATCAACTCCGTGAATTATTAGCCAGAGGTGGATTTCGCTTAACAAAATGGTGCAGTAACGACCGAGAAGTCTTAGCAGCTATTCCAGAGAGTGAACGAGCTAAATCAGTCGCTAATTTGGAGATAGAACATTTACCTACAGAGAGCACCCTCGGAGTTAAATGGAATGTGGAGGAAGATAAATTCGTTTGGGAGATTTCACAAGAAAGATTCACAGTGGTTAGCAATAAGCCGAAGACTCGTCGAGGAATATTGTCCGTAATCTACTCAATGTTTGACCCCCTTGGATTTATAGCTCCATTCACAATGAAGGCTAAACTGCTGCTCCAGATGCTAAGTCGAATGAAAATTGGATGATCAAATTGGAGAAACAGAAAGAACGCAGTGGATACGATGGCTCGAAGATTTACCTAAACTCGCAGAGCTACAAGTCGACCGTTGTTTTAAACCTGAAACGCTTGGTGACATAAAATCCGTAGAACTGCATCTGTTTTCTGACGCATCGCGTGTAGGATACTCAGCCGTAGCATATCTTCGCCTGGTAGACGTCAATGGCTGTATTCATTGTGTGTTCGTTATGGGAAAGGCACGATTGGCGCCAATCCGGGAAATCTCTATACCAAGATTAGAACTCAACGCTGCTGTTGTCTCGGTGAAACTTAGAGTGCTGATACAAGAGGAATTAGACATGGAAATTCAACGAGTTTATCACTGGACTGACCCTACTTCAGTGCTCAAGTGTATTGTTAACGAATCCAAGAGATTTCACACGTTCGAATCCAATCGGTTAACTATCATACACAGTGAATCATCACCAAATGAATGGAGGTATGTTAACACGGATGCAAATCCAGCTGATGACGGTTCTAAAGGCATGAAGTTGGAAAATTTAATGAAGAATAATCGGTGGATAACGGGCCCACAGTTCCTATGGCAAGAAGCAAGTTCCTGGCCGGCTATGATTGAAGTCCCAAAGTTAAAGGATGACCCTGGCTACGTATAGCTATATGAAAGTCCTGTAAGCCGTTATTATGACAGGCAAAAAAAATATCCTGCCACGAAATATATTGGTAAAAAAATCTTGCGCTACACTTTTACAGGAAAAAACATCTGTCATGTTCTCCTGGGCGGAAAAAATCTTGCACAATCTGAATCTTTCAACCCCCCTTCCCCCCTCAAAAATCCCGGTTTACTCCAACCCTCAAAAATCCCGGTTTAGTCGGTTTACTCGAACCGACCAGACCGCGTAGCTCAGTTGCCAGAGCATTATTGGGCTAGTATTCCAAAGGTCGTAGGTTCGAATCCCACCGTGGTCAGGCATATTTTTCAAGCTTGCCCGGTGTGGATATACACTCAGAGTAACATCATGAGCATCATATTCACCTGACTACATAGCACCAACACAGAAAAAATCAAGAATATAATATATTTTCAAATATTAACGAAATATGTATATATTGAATTCCTCAGTATTACTGCATTAACTAACCGTCAGGGCTTCTTCAGAATCCGCTTCATCATCTGAATAAATGCCATTTTTAGCTTTCCACTGGGCTCTATCTTCTTCAAGCAGGATTTCCACATCATCAATTAAACCATCAATTACATGATCGAAATCCTACAGAATTACGGAATATGTGCGGAATATTAGGGTGGGCTCAGCCAGAGGGGTCATGGTATTCTAAAAACTTGATAAATATGGATCAAATGCCATATTCCAAAGCCTAGGCCTGCAGTAGTTTGAAGTTAATAGTACCTAGCAGTTAATAAGAAGTAGTATAGTTGGAAGTTAATAGTTGCAGTAGTTTCTGCATTTTTTTTATCAAATTTTGCAGTGATAGTAGTTGCAGTAGTTTCTGCATTTTCTCGCCCTTGGTAAATTTGTCCGCTATTTCCAGCATGCAGGAGATTGTGCATGTTAAGGCCAGACACAGACCGAACGTGATTCGGCAACGCGACGCGAATTTTCAGTTTTTAAAAACAAATAAAACCGTGAACGGTTAAAAAGAGGGTACCTAAATATCGAGTCAGGATTCGAGCCAGGACTCGAGCCAGGACTCGAGCCAAAAATGACGTCAAGTGATTTTGATGGATGAAAATTTACCAACAGCGTTCTCACTTTTAAGGAACTTTCCTTAAATTTAGACTATTCGTTCACCAACAATGCGAAATGTTTAAGCAAATTTAACTGAATCTGAGGAATTGTTTATCGATAACCTAAGGAATGTTTGGCAAATGGGTAGTGAGAGAACTTGTTAATTTACCAAATCAATTTCCCGCCTTTTTCCGCCAGACTCGATAAAAGAAACTAAAGAACGAAAGTTGATATTTGGTATATTTGTACATACAGAGCTGTCAATCTCATCTGACTTTGGCTGTTGAGGGGCCGATTACATGGACGATTTCAACCCCGGGGTTAAAACGTTATACTATAGTCTATACGTTCTCGGCATCGATTCGCGTAAGTAAAAAGCCTTTATTTTGTTTTCTTGTAATAAATAGTCACTACCACGCATGCTCGAATAACTCATGATAATTTCAGCCCTGGGTTGAAACGATTACATGACAAAATTTTCAACCCAGGGCTGAGTTCAACCCCAGGGTTGAAATTTCAACCCTGCTAGCTGAAGCAGGGTTGAAATTTCAACCCCGGGGTTGAACTCAGTCCTGGGTTGAAAATTTTGTCATGTATTTTAAATCGCACGTTTGATTTTGATAGAGTTTTGTATTACAGACAGGGCTGAAATTTCAACCCGGTAAACAGGGCTGAGTTCAACCCCGGGGTTGAAAATGTCCATGTAATCGGTCCCTAACTGTAACAGGTATTAGCGTCGGAAGACAGTGAATGAAACAATAGCCAATACCATTGTTGTTGTTTGTCTTTGATATATTGCACAAATATCGATATCCAAAAAAGGGAAATATCCGGCCAGTATTTTATCGAACTAAAACAGTTGGTATTGCCCATCACTAGCAGTCTCTCGCTCTTTACAAAACAGATACTTGTTGCCGCTCATTGCCGCTTAGCATTCGTCAAAGAGTAGGATAATTCTCCCTATCTTATTTTCCTGTAATAGACGCCAATATCACCAAACTGTATTATAGAAGAGCCGGCCACGCTGGCTAACTGTATGTACTATTTACAACATGAGCGGCCGTGTTGTATCGGATATACAAACTCGAGCCGAAAAAATGACTTAAAAAACGACTCATCTTACGAGTTCATTGGCGAAGTAATTTTAAAAATAAACGTTGTCTAAGCCGAGAAAATCAAAGTTAAAGTTTATGTAAATCAACATGAATATGTATCACATATACAGATACGACACGCTTATGATTTTTCTTTGTGTTTTCTTCATGAATTATTAATGAGTTTTTTAATACTAAATACACCCTTTCGATAATTACACATACTTTTTGGTCTTGGAACCTCGCTCTCATTGGTAAATTACACAAGGTAATTAGCGTAATTATTGAAAGGTTGTAGCTAGTAGCTAGCCTGCGTAACGTGTCTTATGAAACAAAACCATTGGGTAATGGCAATTCCCCGTATTTTCGCATTTTTTTGATCGAGTCCTGACTCGAGTCCTGGCTCGAGTCCTGGCTCGAGTCCAGGCTCGAGTCCTGGCTCGAGCAATAGTATATCTCGATGTAAACAGGTAACACGTGTATTCTTACAAAAATATTCGCAAATAATGAGGGAGAATGTAAAATTTCAGCAAATTTTTTAGGAAATATTTCTTTTGCTTTGCCTACAGATTTACACATCAATGACAATAACACTGTGAAATTGTCGGAGACTGTCTATATATATCTTAATAATTGTGATTTAATAGCAGGATTAATTATTACTTTAATTAGGGACGAACATTGCATGATTGACACATTTATATTATTATGAAGAGGAGTTAAAAGATACGAATGTAGTGACTGTGTGACTGTGAGAGAGACTAGACCGCGTATACAACTGTGAGAGATTTTCAATAATATAATTTTATAAAACCGAATTTGCTTCGTCGAGAGTTTGATTTTTCAGTACCTTTTAGTAAGGGTCAAATTACTAAACCTGGCACCTCCGACGGGATCGTAAAATGAGTGAGGCAAACGCCAGCACCGCGCTGGAAACAAAATTAGTTCAATTGCAACTAACGACGAAGCGCACGGACGGAATTCTTGCAAAATCCGAAGAAGGGCCTATTGCTTGACATCAGGGAACGCCTAGAACTGTTATTGGCGAAGTGGACAAATTAAGGCTTACGGTTGAAGCTGAAAAACTGGGCAGAAAAGAGGATACTACCGAGTGGAGCGAGGAGATTGATACCCAAATCAGCGAGGCAGATAGTCATGTAAGACTGACGAAGGAATGGTTGACGGAAAACAAGAGGAAACTAGAGGAGATGGAGAACGACGAGAAGATCAAGTTTGAGGTAAAACTGCATGAAACTAAAGTAAAGTTACAAGATGAACATATTGTTAAAAACACCTCGCAGACCAGTAAAACGATGATTGGAATGCAAACGAAATTACCGAAGCTAGTGATTTCGAAATTTAATGGTTCTCCTATGGATTGGCCAAGGTTTTGGGGACAATTCTCAGAGAACATTGATCAATCCGCAATTGCCCCGGTGACTAAGTTTCTTACCTACGCGAGTTGTTAGAGCCTAAAGTACGACAAACAATTGAAGTATTGCCCTTTCACAGCGAAGGTACAATCGAGCGATAAGCATCCTCAAAGATAAGTTTGGGAAAGAATCAGAGATAGTAAAAGGTTACACGCACGAGATACTTGGGTTGCCCACAATACAAGCGGCCAATCAGAAAAAGATTCATGAGTTTAGCGACAAATTGTCGTACTGCGTTCAAGCTTTAGAGACATTGGACAAGCTTGACGGGGTCAATGGCGCCGTGCCAATGACTCTTGATAAACTGCCTAGCATTCGTGGAGATTTGGTGCGAACGGACCCTGAATGGGAGAAATGGACCTTCACCAAACTAGTTGAAGCGCTCAACCAGTGGTGTCGAAGAAATCCAATCGACAAACCATCTGAACTAAACGACGACTCGTTTAGCAGCAAGAGAAGAGACAAGCTGTTTCATGTCTCTCGTCAGAGATTAAATCCACGTAATTGCGTTTATTGCGATAGCGGCGAGCACAAAACAAACGATTGCGCAAAAGTAACTCTGACGTCAGCCCGTAAACAGATACTAGCCAAGAAACGATTATGTTTTAATTGCGCCGCGGGCAATCATAAAGCCTCTGAGTGTCCGAGTAAAGCCACTTGTAGGAAGTGCGAAAAGAGACATCACACGTCTATTTGTGATTCTCACGACAACAAGGCCGGTGGTCAAATTTCTGGCCAAAATTCAAACGTTGCCATGACTACATGCCAGAAAAGCGAAGCGGTGTTTCCAGTAGTCGTTGTAGAAGTCAATAGAATTCGATGTAGAGCGCTGATTGATTCGGGAGCTGGGAGCTCCTACGTGTCAGCAAAACTGATAGACTTACTATTATTATTATTATTATTACGAAATTATTATTATTATTATTATTATTAAATTGAAACCACATTGCAGCCAGAAGCTGAATTGCGTGGATTACATATTATCACATGCACTACATATAAATATATTATTAATACAATATTATAAAAACCCACCCACGATCAAAATTCGATT